ATCTGTATCTGTATCTGTATCTGTATCTGTATCTGAATCTGTATCTGTATCTGTATCTGTATCTGCATCTACATCTGCATCTGTCACTATATAACTGTATCTAGTCAAGAAATGAAATGCACAAAGCACAAAGCAGAAAGCAAGATAAAAGCTACAATGATCTGCATAAAGCACTTTGCATATGTATAAACAAAGTTTTTTTGTTTGTTGTATTTTTTGGCTGCCTGCTGCCTGTTGCGGCTGTGTTGCAAGCAGCAGAAGAAGCGAGCAAGTTCAAGGCGCGTGAAGGTGTTGCATAGATTCACCGACAACAACAACAACAGCCTTAAGATACAAAGATACTTCTGTATGCGCATATGCAGATACTTTTAGCTCTTAGGCAGTGGCTGCGTTGACGAAAATAAAACGCCCACGCCGGAAGCGAGCGAAAATGCAAACAAAAAATGAGAAAACGTGTGAAAAACAATTAGCAAACAGCCCCAACAACAAAAATAAAAACACAAACAAAAGCAATTGTAAATTTCAAATTGAAAAATGTGTCACAGCCAGTGAATATTTGCGTTGATTTTGTTATTTCTATTTCGGTTTCTATATAATGAGCGTGGGCGCTTTGATTAATGGGCCTACTGACACAATCTGTGCATTCCAATTGCTATTTGCCTAACATTGACATTAAAACACATTTAATTAAATACAAAATAAGAAATATGAAACAAAACTACAAAAAAATCAAATTATGCGCGCGCGCTTTTATAACAGCACTGCCAGCCCGAAATTGGCAATGGCTAACAGCGTGCTGTTAACACGCTAGACTCCGTTAACAGCTTATGCAAGCTAACAGCACAGACGGTTATCGATAACAGCGGCCACAGCGTCAGTCTGTTTTGGTTGTTCCGCATTTGCACACATACTCGGCTAATATGTAGAAAATCAAAAACTGTAAAATATGTAATTTTCCAACAAGTGCAACTGTTTTTTAATTTTAATTTGTACTTAAGCACACCGTACTTACTCGTTCCTCTATTTGTTCTTTTTTTGTCGCGCTCTACGTACGCGCTGTCCTTTGTGCGTCTCTCTATACCTATTTTTGGGTTTTTTTGTTGTTGTTTTACTTTTTTTTTGTTTTACTGTTGCTTTGTGCATGGGAACTCGTGCAAAATGGATATCGTGCAGTTCTGGAAAATCGTTGGTGCCCTTTGCAGGCCCGACTGCTCAAGATGTCTGTGTGGACGACAACTAGCTCAGCTGGCAATGGCCTAGAAGCTTCCAATAGCCAAACTCGCACGCCGCCAACGGTCAAATCTCAGCTCAGTGCCGTTCAACGCAACAGCTCAAATCCGACCAACGCTGGCCAACCAATTGGCAGTGATATTACCACGTCAGCCAACGCTCAGCAGCATCATTTCCAGCACGTAGTCGCCGCAGCGGTTGCAGCTGCCACAACCATAGCTACCGGCCAGCAACAACAACAACAACAACAACAGCAACATCATCATCAGCTGCTGCAGTTGCAGCCCTTTAACAATCACAACTTATACAATCAATTTGGCAGCAGCTCCGGTAGTAGTAGCAATAACGGCAACAACAACAACAACACCTTCAACTTCAAACGTTCCAGCATTAGCAACTCGGCTCCACAGCTACCCGCTTCCAGTCAAAATTTCACAAAGGTAAGTCTCCATAACAAATCAAATTCTACATTCCTCCTACATGCAAAACAAAAAAGACAAGAAAAAACTCCAAGAGTCTCCCGCGCGCTCTCACTCTCTCTGTCTCTCTGCCTTTGTCTCCCCTCTCTCATATCTTTTCCACGCGAATCGTGCGAAATCACCGAAATAAGCAATATAGAAACGAACAATTGGACATGCGGTTCACGGTTAATTCTCCAGTCTAAACTCTAAACTTGGCCTCCGATTTCAAGTCGAACCAGATCCCACTTGCTAGCGCATGTGCGTTTGCGTGTGTGTGTGTGTGTACGTCTATGTATGTGTATGTATGTATTTTTACTGTGTGTACGTACCGCAATATTGCACGCGGCTTATTATTATTAATTTTCCATACACTTAGAGCTTGCTTATGACGTCACAGAACTTAGTTTGTTATTCTTGATGCTCATTAGACAGGGGTATTAGGCGGGTATATTTGTTAGCGTTACACG